AAGAGGGTGCAGAAATGTCTTTGTAGGGAATAATTTCATCAGATATTTGGAAAGCTTTTCCCCCTTTAAAAAGTTAGTTTATCTTTAATAATAGAATTAGTTTGATCCTAAATATTCAAGCATAACGAAAAAGAGAAACAAATAAAATCATCTCTAGACGCAATGTTTTAAACTGAAGCATTCATTTTAAGTATTTTTCTGTTTGTGTAATTTTTTTTACCAGGGTGCTGGTACTGCTATCGGGGAGCTCCCTCCCTACTTCATGGCAAGGGCAGCCCGGCTGTCTGGTTCTGACCCAGATGATGAAGATTACCAGAAGTTTGAAGAAATGCTGGACCAGACCGAGTCTGCTCAGGTGACACATCCTCTGCAGCTTCTTCTTTTCGTGCCATCTACAGCTTTTTGCTTTCTCCTTTGTCCTTTCATCCTACTCATGTGACAAAAGATATATTACTCAATTTGTTAGAGTACAAGAGTCACCACACACATCAGCTTTTGAAAAGGCCCCACCTTTATTTCTCAATAAGACAGTCACAATTAAGCTCTTGCTCAACATCATGACTAATAGAACATTGGTGATACGCTTGAGTAAAATCCTTTTTGCACTCTGGGCTTTCATTGAGAAATCCTCTGAAAACATGTTCAGCATGTCTTCCCTCCACATATTTCCGCTCTAACTATTGCCTCTTTGTAAATATTTATTGTTCTGTCCTTCTATGACTATGAATGATGCATTAGGAATGAAAAGAAAGTCATTAAAATACCAGCGGAAACATGCAACAAGCAATTTGGTAATTTAAGGAGAGGTTGGTTCCAACTATTGCTAAGTACGATTTTTCTAGTTCGTAGAAGAAAAGGTAAAAAAACGTAGACTTTTTAAATTAGAATTTAAATAAAAAAAATAAAAGCATTGTTTTCTGCTCTTTTTTATTTTATTTTGAGAAATGCCAGATTTTTTTTTTTTTCTAGAAAGAAACTTTTTGATGTATAAACTTGCCAGGGTAATAGTTTCATAATTTGGGGTTATTTATAAACCTGATAGAAATACATGACACTGAGTCTTTATAAAGGCTGTGTTTAATGAGTGAAACACCATAAGCATAAGACTAAAAACATCCCACACTAATTCCTGACTGAATCTTTACTGTTCCATGATAAAACCTGCTTCTGCATCTGTTAAAATGTTGAAAAAGGTGAAAAAATATACATTTATTTAGAAAGTATGAAAAGAAAATGAACAAAACAACTTATCACTGCTCTGTGGACAGATTTTTATGAACCAAAAAAGTTAAATAAAAAAAAAATGTTTGGGCTTTTAATCGTTTAAATGAATGATTTATTTTCTTAGATTATAACCAGAACATAATTAATACCTTTTTTGTTGAATCAGACAAAAATGTAAATAAAGACAAACCTGCAATTGTTGTAATTTAAACAGGGTATAAGATGATAGAGTTGAATTAATTTAAGGTTAAGTTGAACAATTTGGACGGAGTTCTCCATTTTTATTTCCTTTGAACAATAGCCCCTTTTATGTTGCCTTTGGCTGGGGCTTTCCAGAGCTCGGGTAGCATTTGGATGCACATTTACCCTAATTTCACTATAGAGCCATTCCTCAGGTAGGTCTAAAATCTTCCTGGGATTTTTTTTTGCGATATATGTTCAACAAGATTTCCTGCAGAACTTCATGCCACCGGTAGTAGCAGTAACTTGAAAAGGTAAGTGTACTGATGGTTTTTATACCTCTTTATAGTGATTTTATACCTCAGACTTCATCTGTGGATTTTGTTTATCAAAAACTAGGTTACTTTATTTGCTTTGAGAGATTTTAGAGCGGTGGAGCTCCGTGTTGTTAATGCTGCAGGTTTAGCTCTGACTTACGGTTTCCCTTTCACTGAGTTTAAGTTTTATTTCCCATTAAATAAGTTATTACAGAAAGTAGATATAGGCTGTTTTTAGGACAGAAATTACACCCGTAAATGTATCTTTACAGTCAGTTCATCAAGTTTATTATCCTACTTATTAAATTAGCTTTTAGAGTTTATGTAGCAGCAGAGCTCTGCTGACGGCTCAGTATGGCTCCTAAGCCAGGTTTAACTAGCCGGGTGGTAGCACTGCTAGTCCTCGGTTACAGCTGCCTTTCCTGGCACTATGGGATTTCTTAGCACCTGTTATGTGTTTGTAGCAGCTAAACATGAATATAACACATTTATTAGATAGCTACGCTGTTAAAACTACAGAAACTAACATTTTAAAGTT